ATGACTGCGCCACCTACCCGAGGGTAGTATGATTTGACATGACTTATATTGGTTGAGGTTTGGAGTTATATTTTCTTCTATTTATTGTTTCATGCATAGGATTTGGAGTTAGTATTTAGCAATTCACAATTTGAGATACGATGTATATACATAAGGGTTTTCTTGTTTGGATTATTTCGCTCAACGTACCCATTCTCGTGTTGTGAAATTCTAAATATCAATCTCTGCTCTGATACCAGGATAGGTGTTTTATATATTTATATTATAAGTACTAACTTGTATCTTTCTTATATACTCCTAACCCCCTCCCCCTAAAGGCGGTGGAGATGATCTCGCTAGCGCTTTGACACTCGTTGTTTTCCCTCTTTTCAGACAGCGAGTCAAGCGCACGGAGAGTCACAGGTTAGTGGAGTTACGGCCTAGAGTCCATCATTATTTATATTAGTAGTTTATTTCATGCTCCAAAGTAGTTAGTGTTTATTTTCAGATATTTAGAGTTATATTTTATTTTGAAAAGGTTGTGTGCCTTAGTACCAAGGTTATCGATAGCGGATAGCGTCACGTAGTGGTGAGGTATCGCTAAGGCTATTTCGGGTTATTACGGTAAAATAACGGTAAAAAACGTAAAGTCAAATAGCGATCTAATTTAGATATGTATAAATACTAAAAAAATTAAAGAAAAATCTAAGAAATCTAAAAGTACATATTGAATGATTTAAAGAGATCCTAAACATGAAATAGAAAAATAGCGGTAAAAAACGCAAAGTCAAATAGCGGTCTAATTTAGATATGTATAAATACTAAAAAAATTAAAGAAAAATCTAAGAAATCTAAAAGTACATATTGAATGATTTAAAGAGATCCTAAACATGAAATAGACATATAACCATCACGTAATACCGAAGATGACTGGAGGAGTCAAAAAGTTATCATCTTCGAGAAGAACTTAGCGATGACAGGACTGTCCTAAGAGCTCACGGTGAAGGAGATGAGAGGAAGTATCAAGGTAGGTGCCAGAGGCTATGAGAGGTGACGAGAGTATGTTGAAAATCACAAAAAATGGTGGAATGCAATGGTCAAATGTTGAGTTTAATTTTAAAAAAATAAGCCTCAAACCGCTTTTAAATAGTAGTCAAAAAGCAAATTTCAAATGCAATCGCTCACTATTTACCGTTATGACACACTATTGACCGCTTTTGCGAACAGACATATTCCGTAATATGTCACCGCTATTGCGCGATAGCGTAGCGGGCGATAACGTCGCAGGAAGGGACCACTAACGCTATTAGCGTCGCTATTACGGGGCTATTTACCGCTATTTATAATAGTGTTTATTACTCTATTCAGTTGACTCTATGTATCGAGATATTTTGCATTTGATTCAGTTTGTCAGTCGTACTTCATTTTAATTCAGTTGGAACATGATTGTGAGTATCTAGATATCTTTTTCCTTTATCATATTCATTGCAGTATTACATTATTTTATCTGCTTTGTACCTACACTTATTTATTATTGATTCCAATATAGAGACATTACTGTGATGGTGAAACGTGTTGTTGCACAGTATTGGTACATGTTTGACATTCTTGGGTTTATTTTGGACTGTAGCCTTGTGTGAAACCAGGGGTGTCACAATAAATAAGTGTATCCTCTATGAGGAAAAGACATTGATTAATGAAAATATGTGAGTTTGAGAAATCTCTTTGAAGCATAAGTTGCTAGGCTTGAATTCATTGTTTTACAGAACAGAAGCTGAGTGAACTTGGTCTTTCTAATTTATCTATTTTTCAACTTAGAATTCTGTTTATTAAAAAAAAGTACTATTCACCTGATACTATTCCTAGGTACTGCTTATATGATAATGTTCATCAATCCATTTTTCGATGACATTTTTTTATTTAAGTTCAATCAAAATCCGTTCCCCGTTAGGGAACCATAAGTGGGGTTCAAACGTCTCGAAACGAGGAACATTAACGATCTCATTTATGGAACACAACCCAGATCACCAACTCCAACAACTTGATTTCAAATTCAAACCAATTAAATTTTTTTTAAAAATAAGCACTTTCCAAAAATTAAACACAAAGCGCGAGAACTTAAGCAAATAAGTATGTATGCCATAATTGCAACATGATTCTCATTTTTTCCATTATTAATATCAACTAACATATTCTTTATAGAAGTGGTCACAGGGTTAGGCTGGCCCAAAAGCTTGCCAGGCCCGGCCTAAAAGCCTGCCCCGCCCGGCCCAAAAGCCTGCCCCGCCCAGATTATTTGTCGGGCGGGCTAGGTAGATCAAAGTCGGGCTTCACTAATTTTAAAAAAGATAATTTAAGTTGGGTAGGCTTGGGCTTCACTATAAGGATTCTCTACTTTAAAAAATATATTTCAAAAAACATTTAAGATGATTTTGGGTAAGCTTGGGCTTGGCTCCACCCGAAGCCTATCGGGTTAGGCTGGTGGGGAGGGTTCGGGTGGGCCTCAAGCCTGAAACTAAAGAGCCAAACCTGACCCCAAAACCCCAAGCCCAGTAGGCTCAGGTTAGAGCTAGCCCAAGCCCAACCCATGACCAAGTCTAATTTCTTGAATTTGAATCTTGCATAATCTTATATTTCTATACTTCAAAACTAAATCTAAAGTGTACCACGTTTTCTAGTGTACTGTATAAGCCTACCCTTCATCCTTGATTCCAAATAAGTAGAGTATTACACATGTTCTTGTCCATGATTTTGCACATTGTTTAAAGGAGACATAAGAATACATTATAGAGGAAGAAATAACATTTTCTACTGGATCACCAGGAGACACAAACCTCTCACAATAAGAACCAGAAACCACGAAGTTTAACAATCAAATTGCTTTGCATCTAGCAAAGATGCATGCATACAACACTCTAATCTCTTCAAAAAAAAGAAATGTCTTTTGATAGCAAAGAAAAATTGCCAGCTTAAGTAGTGTACTTGTCAATGCAAAGAGTAGGGACTAGTGGCTCAAAGTCAAAGTATCACTATAAATCACCATTTTTTCACATTTAGTAAAATCGCATACATATGTATCGATTAGGAATGCAATGTGCATTAGGTAAATAGGTACAACGAGATCATGTTGGTTAGGGGTAAAAAAATAGTTCAGATATATCAAATCCACAACCATATATAAACGGATGCAGATATGGTATTAATGTTTAACATAGGTCGTATATGAAGCCAAAACCTAGTGTTTTAAATATCGACCGATAAACCGTTATTATCAGCGATTTCTCGGTTTTGGAGGCCTTCCACTATGATAAGTTTGATTTTAAATCGGTTATCGTTTTTGGATGTTTATCGGCGATAATGCAGCGATAAAGTGAGTTATTGGCCGATATTGTCGACTCAAAATATCAGAATTATTGGCATTTGGTTTGGGTTTGCTCTTTGGATGTCTAAGAATTATAAACTATTTGCGGCTTTTGGAACTTGGTTGTTTGGTGATTAGCTTATGCTTGTTTATGACTATTGACATGACTCAACTATTAAATCTCATCTTAGTAAGTTAGCTTTAATCTCGTGAATACACAATAATTATATTAATGATTCTTCATTCTTTATGTTATCTTATTATTTGCTTGTATGTTATTCAATTTTTACAAACTATGCACTCGAATGGTTTCATCGTGCGATCAAGAAGCAAGTTTCTACTATTAGTTAGTAATCCTAAACATAACTATTTATATTTTGATATGTTTATATTTCATTAAATATGGTTAGATTACATTTTAGCATATTATAATATGTATATACACTAGCCGGTAATATCACTCCGATAAATTCTACTTATCCTCGATATATCCCCAATATCCGCTATCTGATATTGATTTTTACCGTTCGATAAATCCCCGATAACCGATATTTAAAACCTTGACAAACAAATATGGTTTATGATTTTTAGTCGGACATGGATACAATACAGATATTACTTTGAATTTCGAACACGGATATGGATATTCGGATTTGTTTATGGATACAGTATGAAGATGGATATAGATCCGAATATGGATACATATATGTATTCAGCTTTGGGTATGGATTCAAATATGAATTCGGATATGGATATTGCCAACTTTTTGTTTTCTTAATAACCTCAAATATGGTCATTTCTTTTGGGAAACGTGGATTGCGATTTTACTAAGATAATCAATTGTGCATTATGGACTTGTTGATGGTCAAATTTATGTTCTACAATAATTTGATTATTTGATAAATGGTGATTAAAAAAACTTTGCCCTTCGAGTCATGCACTTGGATTATGGCCATTTGAGAATTCAATTGTCTTGGTTGTATTGGCTATTGTAAATTACTTTTAAAATTTGATAGTAGGAAAATATATTGTAATTTTTGAGTCGTGTTTATCTTTTTGGAGCAAAATAAAGCAATTAACATACGGATCTCTCTTATATCTAATGCATATTCATTAGCCAAGTTTCTGATTCATATTTGCAATCAAATCTGTATCCATCTTTCTAACATTCATACCGTATCTGTCTCCATTTTTGCTAATATGATAATGCCTTTCCTCATTGAAGGAAAACCGTAACCATATCCATATTCATTTTCAGAAAGCGGACACGGATATGGTAAGTGACTTAGTGACATTATCCAAACCGTGTCCGATCTGTTTGCACCCTTACTATTAGGATTTGCTTATGTTATACCTCAAATAGAATGTGGGTTCCTGCAGAAGATCTTTTACGATGTAATCTTTTTGTCAAGTCGCTGGCTTTTTATATATTTGGTGGTTTTCTCTTCAACTGTATAAGTTCAATCTACATGACCAAGACAGGTAACTCTATGATCCATCTAACTCCTTGTTCGAAGCCACCTTGTAAAATCATGGTCTGATATACTAGTGCATCTTATTTTCCAAACAATTCCATTTTGAGGGCAAAAGATCTTAAATGATTATCCTACCAGTATTAACTAAGCATAATCCTGGAACTAAATAAAAATGTACGCAATACCTGAAGAATCCACCTTAACCTCATCCCCAGAGCTGTTTTCACTCTCATATCCTGAACCTGAAAAAATGAAAGATGAGGTCATGACAACTAAAGAACATTTTGAATTACAAGTAAATGTTGGACATATATGAAATGCAATTAGAATAAAAGATGCAAGATAATATGTAGTAATCCTAATAGAATCAAAGGAGGTTCATATTTAGTGAGAAACCGAACCAGGAGATGGAGAATGATTCTTTCTTCGATTCCTTTTTCTCTTAGTCTCTGGTCTCTCCCTTTCAACTGTTACATCTTCTTCTGCTTCTTCTAATTCTTCTTCTTCCTCTTCTTCTTCAACTTGAGGAATGGAATCGGAATCAGAGTCGGAGTCAGAGGAATCAGAGCTGTCATCGCCGTGGGTTCCTCGCTTGTAAAACCGCCGCTTTATCATTTTGAGAGAATGAGAGAGCTGCTCTTTCTAGACTTTTATCCTATAATTATTTAAAATAAATTGGATATGAATATTTAAATAGGTTCTACTGATTCTTAACTGAATTGAATTGATCCATGAATTTCTAATTCGATGAGGAAATCGAAGATTCATGAAAATATTTCTTATAGCATTGATAGAACCAAATACTGTTGTTATCGTTATTAGATTAGAAACATAGAACCTGTGTGGTGAATTAACCTAGCAAACACAAATAACCGGATGCTTTTACATAACCAACAGCCAAAATGTGACATAGTAGCTAAGTAATAATAAATAGAGCTTTACAAATATCATCAAATACTCCACTATCATGTTTAGTGTCATAAGATCCTGGGTGATTTTAGGTTACATTAAGAACAAATTTATCTTGAACAAAACGAGAGTAATAATATTACTCAAAATATCAAAAACAAGTGGAAATAAACACCTAAAAAAGAATGATTTGAGGGGAAAAAACAATATCTGAGACGTCAAACAATACGACACGACAAACGAGCTCGCAGCGCACAAAAGTTATCTAGGAGAAGAGAGAGGCAAGAAAGAGAAAAAGAGCTTCCCCTTCTTTCTTTTTTCTGTTCCGTAAGGTTTCTTAATATAAAATCTTAGTCATCCAAATAATCTTGATAGAGGGTAAAATGGTCGCTATGTAAAAATCTTTTTTGTGCTAATTCCTCTCCCCTTCATTGCAGCCCGATTTTAATGGTAAAATTTCCACCTCTATTACTTTCCCCTCATCTCTAGTACTCATTCAAAAGAACTCCCAGAAAAAGTAAATTGTTAACTTCCCACTCTCCTCCCTCCCGTTATGCACCTCCAAATGGAGTTAGGTTTTTGTTTTAGATGGGACGATTGTATTGATGTCGGATCAGGAGCTAAGAAGAGATACCAGAAAATCCTAGGGCTTCATTTTTTATGGCAATGGAAGTATTACGTATTTTTATATTTTTTGGGGGTTATTGGTATAATCCTCTACGTTTCTTATAGCACTAGTATAGTGCGCACGCGCTGCACAAAAACATACTTGTTTTATGGAGTGAATTTATTTCTAGGACTGGAAAATAAGGAGTTGACTCAAAGGAAATTACAAATATTTAAAGTAGCATTAAAAGAAATTTTGAAAGTTTACATATAATTAGCTAGTATGTAAATCAAAAGTCAAATCGGTAGGAACAGTGTGATGAATCATGATGGATATCAGGTGATTATTCATTGTTGACTTTTAAGGCAAGGATGGGTAGTCTATGAAGCACAGACACGCCAAACATGGCCCCGAGTCCGTGTCCGACGCGTGTCGGATGCGGACACGCGTTCGACACGCGTCGAACACGCGGTCAACTCTATCACGATGCGGTTAATGCCCCGCACACGGTCCTTGATTTCATTCCCGACTCGTTCGCCGAGCTCGTTCGCGAAACCAAAAAAGAATACCCGAAACCCAAACCCAAACCCTAATTTCATTACTACCCGTCCCCGACCTCACCCAGTCTCTCCGACGATCGCTCTTCTCGTCCTATGCCTCTCCCTCAAGATCGCGATCTTCCATCGTCCTCTGTCTCTCTCGAGCTTGAATCGGCTCTTCCTCGTCCCCACCGCCAACCGACAAAACCCAAACCCAGAATCCCTAGGTCAGTCTTCTCTCTTCCGATCTCCCTCTCTCTGATATCTCTTCTCTCTACTGCATCCTCGTATCTATTTTCTCTCTTTCTCTAACATCATCACGGAGGGCGAGGGAGGGGAGGGCGAGGGGAGGGGGTTATAGAGGAGGGAGTCAGGCGGATGATGTGAGGGAGGGGAGGGGAGAGGGTTTTTTAATAGAGAGTGAGCCAGGTGGATGATGGGACGAAGGGAAGGGAAGGGGTTTATAGAGAGGGAGCCAAGGGGTGATGGGACGGAGGGGAGGGGAGGGGAGGGTGTTTTTTAATAGAGAGGGAGTCAGGGGGATGATAGGATTGAGGGAGACAGGATGGATGATGGGATGGAAGGGAGGGTGTTTTTTAATAAAGAGGGAGTCAGGGGGATGATACCATGGGATTGATGGCTATTGATTTCTTTTCCTTTTTTTAATTAATATAGGAAAATGTTTAATTTCACAAAACACACCCGACTTTAGGTTTTAATGCACAGGATCCCCAAACCGTGGGTGTTTCACTATAAGCCCCATAAATTTATCTATATAATAATAATAATATTAAAAAAATTTAGTTGTGTCGTCATGTCCTATTTTTTTGGGTTTTGCTGTGTCTGTGTCGTGTCCGTGTTGATGTGTCCGTGCTTCATACTAGTCTTAAATTAGACAGTTATTAAATCATGTTTAGTTATTGGGTTAGCAAGTAATTAACTTGTAACCGTATCCACTCTTGTGTCCTATATACTCTATTCTTTCTCATGAATAAAATTAATCAGCCTATTTCATAACATGGTACGAAAGAGGAGGTTATGACATAGATCTTAATCTCAGCCCTCCATCTAAAAGTCAATCTAATATCCACCGCCCAATACAAACCCTAACCCTAATCTACTCCAGATACCCTAACTTCACTGGTCCAGCAACACCAGTAGGGCTTGTTATTGCTGTCAGCAACCCCCCTTGTCGGCATCGCTGGCCCTTGTGGCCAGCCATTAGCCCTTCACCGACAACCTAAGGGACACGATCTGCGCTACTGCTGCTGTTTTCTGCTTAGATATGCGCTGCTACTGTTTTTTCAGCCAAGATCAGCCCAAATCTAAGTTGTTGCTGCTGTTTTCTGCCCTGTTGGCTATTTTCTATGCTAATGCTGCTGTTTTATGTCCTGTTTATGCTGTTTTCCACCCTGCTGCTGCTGTTTGAGGAAGCTGCTGTTATTGTTTACTGATGCTCTTCATTTTTTGATGATCTGAAGTCAACACGAACCTCTAATTTCTAATTTTTAGTTGCCTTATGGAGTCAATTTGATGCTCCTTACGAGATCTACATGCTAATTTGAATTTATCTAGCTATCTGACTACTGATTCTGACTGTCTACTATTTTACTATTTGATTGATTGTGATGACTTCCTCAGAGAACTCAAATGTGCATATTTCCTCTATTACTTCTCTTGCTCTAAAGACTGTGGCTCCCAAGACTTTGTTGGGAACAACTATGAAGCTAAATATATCTAACTACTAGATGTGGTCTCAAGCTTTTCAAATTTTTATTGGTGCACAGAACAAGTTGAAGCACCTACTAGAAGATCCACCAGCTTCTACAAAATCCAGCTATATTGATTGGAGATCTGAAGACTACAGTGTTATGACCTGGCTTCTCAACAGCATGGAGGAGAAAGTCAGTTTCAGCATCATGTTCTTGAAAACTGCTAAGGGATACCCTCAGGGAGATGCAAGGGAACGAGAAGAATATGTTGAGGGTAAATGAACTTTAAGCTATTCACTTTACAATAGAGAGATAGGTATGTTCCTTTAGTTAAAGGATTTACATGTATTTGTTTAAAAAAAGGTCCAAAGTTGGTAGTATAATAGAACTTTTTTGTAATGGAATAAAGACCCAGTGTTCTCTACCATTCGTGTGCGACTTTTTTGTAATGAAATAAAGACCCAGTGTTCTCTACCATTCATGTGCTTTGTACTGACGATGCATTAGAATATGTGGAAAATGATGTTTCTAGATTTTGTGCCACTAATGGCATCATTCACCAAACTTCATGTACTCACACTTCTCAGCAAAATAGTGTTACTGAACAAAAGCACAGACATATTCTAGATGTAGCTAGAACTCTAAGGATACACATGCATGTTCCAAAATATTTATGGCCTGATGCTATTTTGTGTGCTTGCCATTTGATTAATAGGATGCAATTTTCTATTTTTACTGAGAAAATTCCTTTCCAATGTATTAATCCTACTAAGAGCATGTTTTTGTTGTTCCTAAAGTGTTTGGTGTACATGTTTTGTTTAGGATTTAAGCCCTGGTCTCGATAAGTTATCTACTAGGTCTATTAAATGTGTCTTTGTTGGGTGTTCTAGAACTCAAAAAGGATATATGTGTTATAATCCAGCACCTAGGAAGTATATTACATTTGCGGACGTTACCTTTTTTGAGTTTGTACCATATTTCTCTTCAACTTGTACAAGGCCTCCACAAGCATCTAATCCCCTTTCTCAGCCAGTGCCGAGTTCTGTAGTTGAAGCTAAACTTGCAACAAAACCTCTACTGGTGTATGCCCGAAGACCGAAAGTTCCTGCTTCCTCCTCACCCTCAGTCGAACTCATATCTACATTACCAAATCCTACCCCTCAGCAATTCTCTGCTCCTTCTGACCTTGATCTCCCCACCCATTGCCCTCAAAAAAGGTAAACAATCTAGTACTACTCATTCGATCTCTCATTTTATTTTTTATGATCGTCTTACCACATCCCTTTGTCGTTTTGCTTTGTCCTTATCTACTATATCTATACCTAGATCTTATGAGGAGGCAATGTTAGTTCCTACTTGGAAGCAACCTATGGATGTGATGGATGCACTTGTTTCTCAGGGGACTTGAGACTTGGTGCCTGCTCCTGAGAGGGCTGATGTAGTTGGTTGTTGTTGGGTTTATACTTTAAAGTATCAACCGGGTAGTTTTGTGGATAGATATAAAGCCAGACTGGTTGCTAAAGCTATACACAAACGTGTGGATTATAATACTTTGAGACCTTCTCACCTGTTCGGCAGCATTTGTATCATATTCTCCATTGCTATTAGTATGGAATGACTCATGTTCCAACTGGATGTCAAGAATGCCTTTCTAGATAGTGACCTTTAGGAGGTGAATTATATAGAGCAACTTTCAGGATATGTTGCTCAGGGAGAGGATATTGTATGTAGGCTGAAAAAGATAATTTATGGGCTCAAACAAAATCCAATGACATGGTTCGACAAGTTCAGTAAGGTAATTTCTGGTGCTGGTTTTCAGAGATGCAGCTCAAGTCACTCTGTGTTCATTCATCATACTACTTCTAAATTAGTAGTCTTAGTTGTATTATATGTCGATGACATCTTACTAACTGGAAGTGACACAGTTGGCCTAGCAGAAACCAAAGAGTAGAGGAACCACTTTGTGACTAAGGATATGGTCAAGCTGATATACTTTCTTGGGTGACGTATCTCACAAAAAACATGGGCTACTTCTTTCTCAAAGAAAGTATGCCTTGAATCTTTTGGAAGAGACTGGTCCTATATAGTGCAAGCCTGCAAGAATCCTAATAGAAACAGAGGAGGATTTTTGGTTTGAAGAAATCAAACTCTTTGAAGAAACTAAACAATATAGGAAATTGATTCGCAAGCTAATATATCTTATAGTACTAGGCCTGATATATCTTATGCTATTAGAGATCCGAGTCGTTGCATGCACAAACCTAGAGAGGTTCACTGGAGAGCAGCTTTAAGGATCTTTGTTTATGTAAAAAGCTCTCCTAGAAAGGGGTTATTGTTAAGAAGAATAGAAATGTACATATCTCAGCTTATTCGGACTCAAGCTATGCAAGAGATAAGGGAGACATGAAGTATATTACCAGATATTGTTTCTTTATTAGAGGAAACCTAGTGACTTGGAGAAGCAGAAAACAAAATGTAGTATCTCGGTCTAGTGCGGAGGCCGACTATACGGCAATGGCGCATACTGCATGTGAGATAATGTGGTTGAGAAATATAATGCTAGAACGTAGCTTTGTACACCCTGAGCTCATGCCCATGCGTTGTGGTAAACAGTTTGCTATATACATTGCCAAGAATCATGTTTTCATGAGAAGATGAAGCACGTCAAGATTGACTGTCATTTTATTAAAAAAGATGCAATGATGGAAAATGTGATTTGTATTCCCTTTACACCTTCTTCTGAACAATTGGCGGATATTCTCACTAAGGCAGCGTCATCCAAAGTTTTTATATATTGCATAGCAAGCTAGGCATGATTGATATCAACACTCCAGCTTGAGGAGGACTGTTAAATTAAATAGTTACTAAATCATGTTTAGTTATTGAATTAATGGGAAATTAACCCGTAATTGTATCCACTCTTGTAGCCTATATACTCTGCTATTTCTCATGAATAAAATTTTTCGATCTATTTCATAACAAGTGGAATTGTGGTTAGATTAATGCATAGCCTTGCTATTATGATATTATCAATCTATCTATCCATTAGTGCTCGAAAAGTCAAGATTTGATTTGGAAAAAAATTGTTTCTTTTGATTATTAAATTATATTATAGTTTAATAGTATTATAATATTTAGTAATATTAATTTTCAAATTATTCGAATATTTAATCATTTAGTACTATTGACATAGCTATGGCACTCGTTAATTAGGAGAGAGATAGAAAGAGGTCGGTGAAGAAGAGAGAGAATGAGTGGGGTTCATTGGGCCCTGCCCTCTATATATATAATTTAATGACAATGATTTCTCTATATTCACCCCCAAATCTATCATGTTCTTAATTGCCCCTCAAATCTTGTTATTTCTAAAAATACCCTCCAAATCATCAATTTTGGGTAAAACTACCTTTCATTAATTCTGTTATGATATATCCAAGGAATATTCCATATATTTATGTTGGAGGTGGTAAAAAAATTATAATGACTAATTTATTCTTTATTACCCAAGTTTTTGCAATTATGTTCTTACCTTAAAAGCCAATTTGTACCTGCAAACGTTAAAACCCAATGCCCTGATTCGCATCTCCCCTTCTTCTCCATTATTTATTCCTCTAACAAAAAGCTTGCATGAGAGTGTAGTCCCTAACCCTCTCCATCTTTTTTCTTCCACTCTCATGGTTAATTACAACACAGAAAAAAATGAATTAAATTACCTTTTTAATTTTTTTAATTCCAATAATAGACAAAAAAAATGAACTAAATTCATAGAAAATGGATTTTTAAAAATAGCAATTATAGATCCATAATCAACCACACATAAATAGACTAAAGAGTAAAAAAATAGCTTAACATTTGAACTAAAACAAAGTGATTAACAAGCTAGCATTGAATGAAGCAACAAATTAAACGAAAGTTGATCAAATTGAACTAAATATACTAAACAGATTACTAAAAATTACCTACAACAGTGAAAAAATAAAAAATAACCTCGGAGATGGACGGAGAAATGGCTGTGGTTGCCGGAGAGGGAGATCCCGTGCTTCGCCGCTCGCCAGAGGCGCTTGGTGGAGGAGTCGCGCTTAGGGTTAGGGTTTAGGGAAATAAACGAGAGAGAGGGTTTAGTTTTGGGTTTGGGATTGTGGGTCGGGTTTGGACCAAAATACCCCCAATTTTGCTAAGGTACGCGGCTACTTTTGACTTTTGGGTTTTTGCATATATACCCCTCAAATCTTCTAGCCCACAAATTTTCTATGTTTGCAAAATTACCCTCTGCATCTTGGTATTTGCAAAATACCTCTCAATTCTCTCACATTAATTATTTTACCCCTTTTGATTTACAATTTTATTTTTAAAAGGGGAATTATTGCAAACCTATGGGATATTTGTTAGAAATTTCGACATTGTCTTGTTTAAAACCAATATTCTTAAGTTGGAGTGTAGAAAAACCTAGTATACTAGTTTTGAGGGATAATTTTACAAATATCATATTTGTGAAATAACTTTGCAAATATTAAATATTTGAGTTGTATATACAAAAACCCCTTTCATTTTATACACCCTCAATTGCATATTATCATGCTTTTAGACCTAATAAAAGTTTTTTAATAGTATGAGCACAATAATAATATGGGTATTGCTACAGGGACCCCAAAATAGGGACCCCTGAGGGGACAGGTGATGTGTCAGCCCCTGGGGCTTGATGCACTGTTCGTGCATCAAGCCCCCAGGGACTGACACATCACATGTCCCCTCAGGGGTCCCCTATTTTGGGGTCCCTGAGGAGTTTTCCTAATAATATTCTCCAAAGACTGTCATGTGGACTGTCAAGTGCTAGATTTACTAGGACTTTTGTGCCTTATATTCAACCAAAGTCTAAAAATAATCACCCCGTGATGATTCTGACAGAGAAAATTTATCATATGCAAGTGCTAAGCCATATGACGGATAGAATATAAGTAAAAATTGTAGTATCCGGATAAAGTTTTGGCCCACACAATACTAAAGTCATACAAGCGAGCTTCGCAGTCACGCGAACTCACAGAAAATAGATTCCTAATCTGTTTTGACCTAGGGTTTCCCTATAAATAGGGAACCCTGGTCGCCACTTAAACGCGAGTTTCCAGAGCGATCTGCAGAGCGTTTTTTAGCGGAGATTTTTACAGCGTCTTGAGCAGCGATTTTTCAGAGAAAAATCTCACGTCTTGAAAAATAAAAAGAGAGTTCTTTTTTTTGAGTGGTCTCAAGGAGTTTGAGATCATCTATTGCAAGCTTTGTAATCTTCTTTAATATTCAAAGAAAAATTTTTGTGTGGCTCTCGAGGACGTATGCAAGTTACCAAACCTCGTTAAAATTTTGGTGTTCTCTCTTCTATTTTTCCTTGCAAAGTTTTTCTATTATTTGTTGTGATTTCTTCTTGTCTTCTTTCAATACAAGATCCAGAGGGAACATTCCGCGAGAGGTTTCATTTGACAAGTTGTCGATAGGACGAATCCCAACAACTGGTATCAGAGCCTCGTTCAGATCTGTGTGTAAGCAATGGCAGAAGAAATCAAATCAAAAATTGAGAAGTTTGATGGATCAGACTTCGTCTACTGGTTCACAAATGGAGGACTATTTACACCAGAAGGATCTTTACCATCCGTTGATGAGTAAAGCGAAGGGAGAGAAGAAGGATGAGATCGACAAGGACTGAGAAATATTGAATCGAAAGGCTCTAGGATAGATCCGATTATCGCTCGCAAAATCAATCACATACAATATATTAAAGGAGAAGACGACGGTGGGGCTTATGAAAGCGCTCGCAATAATGTACGAGCAACCGTTAGCTAAAAACAAGGTGCATATCGTCAAAACGCTCTTCAACCTTAAGATGGCAGAAGGATGTTCCTTCACGATGCATCTCAATGAGTTCAACACAATTGTTAATTAACTCATCTCAGTCAATATCACGTTTGATGATGAAGTGCAGGCCCTATTGATACTATCATAGTTGCCAGATAGTTGGGCAGATTGTGTGATCGTAATCAGCAACTCGGTAGGGAAGGAGAAGTTGAAGCTAAACAAGGTTGTTAGTATGATTCTATCCGAGAATGTTAGAAGAAAATCACACAAATCAGAAGGTTCAGGTTTAGCCCTAAGTCTCGAGCAGAGAGGCCGAAGCCGTAATAAGGGTAACCAGAACAGAAATCGATCAAAGTTGAAGAAGAAGAGGTCGAACTCGAATGTGAGGTCTATCAAAGGGAAATGTTGGAACTGCGATCAGGAGGGCTATATGTCTTTACTCTGTAAAGTATCAAAGAAAGATGTAAGTAAGCAGGAGGCTCATCTTGTGCAAGATGCATTGATCCTTGCTATGGATAGTGATTCCGATTCATGGGTTATTGATTCGGGAGCCTCATTCCACGCTACTGCTAATAGGAAGCTTCTTCATAACTATGTAGCAGGGGACTTTGCGAAAGTGTACTTGGGGGATAACGAGCCATGTAGTATTGTAGGAAGAGGTGGCGTGCAAATACAGATGAAGGGCTCTAAGTGGAATCTGAAGAACGTCAGACATGTACCGAAGCTGAAGAAGAATCTTGTTTCAGTTAGCCAGCTTGGAGCAGAAGATTATGTTACAACATTTACTAGGGATGCAAGGAAAATCTCCAACGGTGCTATGGTAGTTGCCCGTGGTAACAAAAACCGGAACACTCTACCTAACTTCACATGTGAGTGACACCTCGTAATTACAGCGGGCAAGAAGAGTGCAGATCTGTGGCACAATAGGTTGGGACACATGAGTGAGAAGGGTATGAAGATCCTACACTCTCAAGGAAAACTAACCGGCATTGATTCAGTTAAAGTTGGTGTTTGCGAAGGCTTCATCTACGGGAAGCAGAAAAGGGTCAGCTTTCGGAAGAGTGGAAGACCACCTAAAGCTCACAAGGTAGAGCTTGTTCATATAGATGTATGAGGTCCAGCTAGTGTGTCTTCTCTTGGTTGTTCGACGCACTACGTTACCTTTATCGATGATCACTCAAGAAATGTGTGGGTATACTTCATGAAGCACAAGTCGGAGGTATTTGGAATCTTCAAGAAGTGAAAAACCATGGTGGAGAACGAGACAAATCTAAAAGTAAAGTGTCTGGGATCAAACAATGATGGAGAATACGAGCTGGAGGAGTTCAAGAAATTATATGCTCTGAATGAGATTCATTTAGAGAAAATTAATCCAGGGGCACCGCAACAGAATGGTGTTGCAGAGAGAATGAATTGAACATTGACAGAGCGTGCGAGGAGCATGCGTCTACATGAAGGTCTGTCAAAAACGTTTTGTGTGGACGTGGTGCATACAACAACTTACTTAATTAATCATGGACCATCAGTTCCATTAGACTTTAGGATTTCATAAGAGGTTTGGAGTAGCAATAAGGTTAATCTCTCACACTTGAGAGTCTTTGGTTGCGAGATATATGTTCATATCAGTGACCATGTCATGGACAAGCTAGAAGCTAAGTCACAAAAGTGTACATTCATTAGATACGACATTAATGAGTTCAGATATCATCTTTGGGATGAGAAGAACAGGAAAATCATCAGGAGCCGAGATGTTATATTCAATGAAGAGGCAATATACAAGGACCGAGACAATGCAAAGGATAATCAAAGCAGTAGGAGCAGCACTAAGGATGCAGGTGCATCCAAGTACATGGATTTGGAGGAACTTCCAGATGGAGGAGACAATATCAGTTCTGACCGAAGAACGAAGGAGACTCTAGGTGCAGACACGACTACCCAGGACAAGGAGCTTAGGAGGTCATCCAGGGTACCTAAACTAAATCCCAGACATCTCTCATCATTAGATTAATTAATTTTTGACATATAGCGGAGAACTGGAGTGCTATGAGGAGGCTATGCAAGTGAGTGAATCTCAGCAGTGGGAGCATGTGATGCAAGAAGAGATGGATTCTCTCCACTCGAATGAGACATGGGAGTTAGCTCAGCTATCTACATAGAAGAAAGCCTTACATAACAAGTGGGTTTACCGGATCAAGCATGAGAGTGATGGAAGTAAGAGATACAAGGCCAGATTAGTTGTGAAAGCATTCCAACAGCGGGAAGGAATGGATTATACGAAGATATTTTCCCCCTTTGTGAAGCTTACAACCATCAGAGTGGTGTTAAGCTTAGTAGTTGCTAAAAATCTCTACCTTAAGCAGTTAGATGTGAAGATTGACTTTCTTTATGGCGACTTGGATGAAGAAATCTACATGAAGTAACATGTTAGCTTCATTGAGGAAGGTAAAGAAGAGATAGTGTGCAGACTCAAGAAGAGCTTGTACGGTTTGAAACAGGCTCCAAGACAATGGTACAATAGTAGTCTTATGTACGCAATGGTTTGCATGAGGTCGGATATCGCCCATATAGTGGGAGTTGTGAGTAGGTTTGCAAGCAACCCATGGAAGAAGCATTAGGAGGCCGTGAAGTAGATATTGCGCTACTTAAGATGGACTACGGATATGCTACTGTGTTTTGGGAGAAAGGAGTTGGTACTATAGGGATACGTGGATACAGATTTTGTCGGTGATTATGATACGAGGCGAAGTACCACGGTGTATATTTACACCTTAGGGTCGACAGAAGTGAGTTGGGTCTCACGTCTGTAGAAAATAGTGACATTGTCCACAACTGAGGTAGAGTATATCGCAATAACTGAAGCTAGCAAAAAGATGATTTGGTTAACCGGATGTCTAGAAGAATTAGGTCTAAAGAGGGGGAACGGGGTTCTTTATTGTGATAGCTAGAGTGCTATACACCTTGCTAAGAATCCAGTATATCATGCCAGAACGAAGCACATCGACGTATGTTACCATTTTGTACGCTCACTGATAGAAGATGAGAAGTTACTATTAGAGAATATTTTGGGGAGCCAAAATCATGCAGATATGTTGACAAAGGTAGTGACCATTCAGAAACTGGAGTTGTGCACAACTTCAGTTGATCTTCATACGTAGGAGATGAGGGTGAAGCCACACTGAAAAAAATATTAAATTGAAGAAAGAGATTCTTCGGGTAGGAGAAGGTGCTTGCTAAGTTGAAGAGAGCTTATTGACGGAGGTTTGGTCTCCAAGTGGGAGATTGTTAGTTTCAGGTGTAGATCCAAACCTT